AACAACGCCCACGACAGACAGACAACATGAGAAATATAGATAGTAGATTCTGACTAAACGGTCCTTAAATATATTATAACAGGGGTTATTCTTTATTCTATGTGAAACTGACCCAAGTAAACTTTTTCCAACTGACAAAGTCTCTTCGTACAAGCAACACCACGTTCATAAGCGAACCGTCTATTCTCTCTCGCGTGGTGTTTTTATGCCGAGCTGATCTCGCAAAAAATTTGCATACGCCCAACCACTCTCGCCAATTCTCCTAGCTCCGAGACTGTGTCTTTCTTAAATTAAGGCCTCAGTGCGGTCATTTCTTTTTCCTTTCCTTCGCTAGTTTTGCACGCTAGGTATATACGTGTTCGCTTTGCCACACGCGGTAAGTCATGTTCTTTTCTACAATCCTCCCTGATCTACTGATCACATAACTATCACAGAGATGGCGGTCGCCTTCGCCGATTGCTTCTGCGTAAAGGTGGACGGGATCCGCCCGTCTCTTCTGCATTTGTGCCCGCTTGGTCTCTTTCGTTATTGGAATTATCATCGTTGTCTTCAGCATCTGTTTCCGATGGTTCCGTAGATGAATGATCTGGCCCTGCACTGAAAAAGAGCGGCAAATTTGAGTCGCTTTCAGACGACTTATCACTGTCATCATCTCCCGACGATGTAGATCTCTTACGCGGGCAGAGATCTCTGATATATTATAACAGGAGTTATTCCCTCATTAAGTGCATATTTATACGTCAAGCGCGTCCATAAACATTTGTCTAAAAGCAGCCTGCACTCGTCAATAGGAAAAATGTTGCTCGTCTCTATGACGAAATCAGGTTACATACAGATAAAATAACACAGGAATAAAAATTGGACTCAATTAGTCAGTTCTACCCCACCCACAATATTCACCTGAATTTACACCAAACGATGTTCACCTTTTTCGGTGGATGCAAAACGGTTTCATGGGGGGAAAAAAAACTTAAATTTAATGAGAATCAGTTTCAAGTATCCGTCGGAAGGTTTTTTTAAGTTAAAACCAGCGGAATGTTATTCAAAACGTATAAGTGGCAACATGCCATTGAAAATAATGATGAATAAAAAATTGGATGAAAAGTAATTATATATTGTTATACACCGTACTTATGAACACTAATGGCTATGTCCTAATCCTGATAAATATGTTGGACACTAGTGTAAGTGGGGGTACTTGTGCTGCCTAAGCTAGCAGCGTCAGCTCTCAGTATGGTGGTGGTGGTGGTGGGGATCTTGCCGTGTCGAACTCTCTGCCTTTGGGCAAAGAGGAACCCGGACGAGGCTATTCCGAAGGGCAAAGACTCGTCCGGGAAGGTAGACAGATACCCGATCCCGCGTATGCGGGGTCTACGTACAATTTTTGCTTGAGCCCACGGGCTCGGATTTCCCCACATTAAATTTGACCTTGTGCGGCATCCTACCTCGTGGGGAGGCAGGTAAATATCGTAATATGCTAAGTAGTCCACCACCAGCAGTGGTTTACCTACTACGCGCCGCTGGCGAGTATTGTATTTTGTTGGTGTTATAAAGATTACCATTTCAATTCCAGCTTCCATTTTGGTTATTCGTCATTCAGTAACTTCTAGTTTATAACATATATAGAACTGGATAAAAGGATATAGAATGGAATAAAAAGATATAGAAATGGTTAATATATATATATATATATATATTTGATTCAAAAATAAAATTGTCATTCTTCATATACATACACACAGACACGCACACACACACACACACACACACACACGCACACACACACACACACACATATATATATATATATATATATATATATATATATATATATATAGTCTGCGAGGGATAAATTGTCGTCTAAATTAGGGGGAAAAATTCGACATTTTATGTTACCAGATATATTTACCAAAATGTCACAAAAATGTCTGGCAATTCTAAAGAGTAAATTCATTAAATAAAATTGCCATTGACCTCATCTAAGGCCTCAAGACGACTTCAGAATCTCCTGCAACTCTTCTGGACGGTCTCCTTGTTTAAGTTGGTGAATGCTGCCATAATCCTTGCTTTCAGTTTATCTTTGGCGTTACAAGGAGTTTTGTTGGTCTCTTGCTCAACAGCGCCCCACACATAATAATCAAGGGGGGGGGGTTGCAGTCTGGGGAGTTAAGTGGCCAGATGTGTGATGTGGTCGCAGAAATTGGCTGACAACCATGACTTGGTTCCCCTGATTGTTTAGCATGGTGCAGAGTTCTGTGTCCAGATTAGTCTTTTAACTCCTACATAGTTCTACCTTCCCAATGCACTTGATATAGGTCTCATTGATGAATGAGGCGTAACGTCGCTATCTCTAGTGATCATTCCAAACACCTTAGTAATCACCATCAGATTCATCTAACTCTTTCTGAATCCTCTGCATCGTCCTCAGTTTGACACACAGACATTCTGAAATGTTCTTTGTGGGACTTCCAGCACAAATGCCAAACAGTGCAGCATGTTGTTTCCAAATTTCTGGCGGAATGAATTGTGTTATGGTGCTCTTTTTCTCACAAACAGTTCCCAACTGACTGTACTATAATAAGCAATCGACAAAATCAAAACCAAAGAATGCGCGTGCGCGAAATCCAAAATATAAAATGGCGACAATTTACGCAGAGCACACTGTGTGTGTGTCTGTGTTTTTATATATATATATATATATATATATATATATATATATATATATATATATATATATATATATGAAGAAGTAATGGATTTTATTTTTAAATAAGACATATTTTTATTGCTTCAAACTTCCAAACCACGCCAGAACAGACAGGGTTTTCTTTTGCCAAGGAGGCTCATATTCTTTAATAAATTTTTCGATTGTTTGGAACAAAATGAGCATCTGCTCAAGTATGGGTATTCATTAAGACAACGTTTGAAATAATATATATATATATATATATATATATATATATATATATAGACAGAGAGAGAAAGCAGGAGTGAGTGAGTGAAGGATTTCCTAAACGTTAATTAATCTGAACAAAGCCAACGTATATATATATATATATATATATATATATATATATATACGTACGTAAGGATATCACTAAGCTTAATGGTAAATATAGCATATTCTATACACATCACATATCTATAATATTCCCCTTTATTAATGCACTTAATCCAACATGAACGTAAATAATGCCGTGGATAATTCAGATCAGAATTAATCTACTAACGAAATTAGATTATCGACTTACTGATCCACCCCCGTATATATATGCATGACAAAGTGGAAAAAGTTTTCGTGTAAAGCGTTTCGTCCTTTAGAACTGCATAAGACTACAGTGAAGGTTATGTTGATGCGACTACGCATGCGCATGAAATGGAGCGGCTGAGAATTTTTGATTTAAAAAAAAATATTTATTTGTTTTGGGTGTATGATCTAGTCAATTCCATTTAGATTACTTTTTGTCTGTTTGTATCATATTTCTTATTAACTATCCCACACTGTGAGAATAAAAGATCTGCAAAGAATGGTAAAATGTTGTAAGAATCTGGACGCAAATTTACTGTGGATAAACTAGCGATGAAAGAACTGTTTAAACATTTTCTTCTCAGTAAGTTGTTTTCGTTTTAATTATAGCATTTTCTCAGTATCTGTCTACATTTCTGAGATGAATCATTATGTACACTATTTCCATTATTCGGACTATTGTCCTCATCTTTGTCGCCATATTTATTACAACGTTTCGGCCGTTGTACGCTCCGGCATTCTTCAGGTGGTTGGAATGTCGAACTGAACCCTTTATTTCGCTCACTGGGGGAGACTGTTCTAGTTCCACGTGCCATGTCTATTGCACGTCAGTTATCAGTTATCTCCTGTTAATTCCCCTCTCCAAGTGTGAGTTCAATACCTGGTTAAGGCGGTAGAGAACTTGGAAAGGGGAGTTATTCGTTGTCTGTTATATTTAACAATATCTGTTTGAATAATAATCTGCTGCATTATATATATATATATATATATATATATATATATATATATATATATATATAAAAAAAAGGCTAAAGTACCAACCAACCCTGCAACCAGAACTTGGACTGTGAGGACTCTTCAGACATGTGGTAATAAATATCTTTGCTTTACATATTCAATTTTGAATTTTGTATTGAGCAGTTTTTTGTCTATACCTTTTAGACGGGGCTGTTTTCATCCCTACTTTTTTATTTCTATCAATATATATATATATATATGTGTGTGTGTGTGTGTGTGTGTGTGAGAGAGAGAGAGAGTGAGAGAGAGAGAGAGAGAGAGAGAGTATATATTCAACATATGCATTTATGCATTTTGTGTGCAATACCTTTCAGTACTTTTACTGATTCGTACGTAAATATTCCCGTACATAAATAATCCTGTTTTTCAAGGTATTATTATACAGGGTACACCACAAAAAACAGGACATTTTAGATTCACTTTATGATGAAAAAGAATTAACTAACATATAGAAAATAACATTTGTAGTTTGAAGAATGCATCTAAATTGTGTTTTTGTTCTGTTTTACGCAACTACATTTCTATACTTACAAACAAAAATTCCACCAATTAAATAAACTATACCAATTTTCCCGTTTATTTATGGGATACCATGCAGATCATGCGAAAATGTTTTCAAAAATCTTCGGAAAATATATTTCTCTGATATTAAACAAGTACATACGAGGAGATAATGAAAAGTTCATGTTTATATCAATCAGCATTTTTTGCTCCCAGTAGAAAAATGATAGTTTGTTGTCTGATCAAATTTTGAGAAGCAAATCGAGCCGAGAACTCTTCAACATTCTTTATATTTTTTTCAAACCTTTACTGATTTTTACTTTCAAACAGTCTTGGAAAAGTCGGAATTCTTAGCGAACGAAATCAAAGACTTATTTTAATTTACTCCCCAATATTCGAACTTCTTTTTTTTTTCTGCTATTAAACCGTGTCTCTATTCTCATCGATTTTCCAGGAAAAATTAAAGAGCGCCATATTGGAAAAAAGTATGAAACGTTTGGACATGGAGATGAAACGCACCGATTCTTTATTGTATCAAATGATTCCCAAGAGCGTAGCAGACCGACTTCGAAATGGAGAAGATTCCATGGACACGTGTGAAGTAAGTAGTTTCTATTTGTCGTTTATGTAGGATATCTATGCGGTTTCTAATACTAGATCTACTAACTGGTACACAAAATGACTATCATATTCCAACATAAAAATCAACCAATCAAAATTTAGAATCTAAAATAATTTTTGCAAGCTTCTTTCTCGCAATCATTCATGTATAAATACTTTTATTGAATTTTCCAAAGTTGAATCTATAAAATAGTAGATAAGAAATTATAATATTCAAAGCATTATTTTCGCTTTAAAAACGAATAACATAATGTAATAAAAACAGAGAGAAAGATAAGGCTTAAGGAAGCTTTATTCTGCTTAGAATAATTGATACAAGCGTGGCTGTTTATAGTACTCTACAAACGAAAGAGTTCTCTAAATGGAGGTAACCATAAAACAAGGGTGATTACTCCCGATTACTTTATTACACCTAAATTATTGTGGTAATAAGATAAGCACATCCTACACCCACCCTCGTTTCACTGTAATAAAACAAACGTTTTCAGTCGTAAATCTGAATTAATCAACAAAAGCTTCTACTTAGAGTTGTTGCTATATGACAGTTATTTTACAGTATTTCCTCTGTTATCCGTACTCTATTTTCCGGAATTCGATTATCTCGGTGGGAAAATAAGAGAAAAAATGCAAGTTTTCCGAACATTTTCCAATTATCCGAACTAATTTTCCTCTAATATTTCATCTGAAACAAACGTCTTGAGAATTTAGAAAATCCTGAATTGATAGAAATGCTGATAAGAAAACACTTTAATTTTTGTTACTGTCGTCATTGTTTTCATACAAAGTACATACATTTGAATGACCACAATGACTCGGGTGGTGTTGAACTTACAACCATACTGGAAAATGCTGAAGCGGAGGAGGAGGAGGAGGATCATAATATTGGCCACGTTGATCTTCAAAAGCCCTAACGTCCAATTTCAAACACTGGAGCAATTATTATGTTTGAAAAAATGTTTAAGTTGGTTTCACATTCAACCAGAAACTAACCTTAGAAATACACTAACTTTGATTCAGCTTTGGAAGTTAGTCGTAGAAAAACGTGATCCCAGCCGGAAAGAGGGACAGCTCGACACCTTTGCTCATAAAAAATGAACTGGACAAAAACACTGAAGAAAGTATTTGGAAGTGTTTTTGTGTGACATAAATGTGGAATTTGAAAAGAGTCAGAAGAAGCGGCAAGGAACAAATCAAGTAAAGATGAATAAGAAAATCTGCCATTTGATTGGGAGAATGAAAAACGGAAAAAATTGAATGTCTGAATACCAACGACACAAATAAATGATCGTTTTTTTTGTTTTTTTAATAAACTGTATTAATTACATTTTCGGCCTGAATGTTGGAAAATTCGTTGAAAATATGCACTCCTCGAACACGTCAACATATATATATATATATATATATATATATATATATATAGAGAGAGAGAGAGAGAGAGAGAGAGATGGGTAAATTGTCGCCATTTTAATAATTTGTAGTAATAAAAATATGTCGGATTTAAAAAAAAACATTAATTCTTCAAACACACATATGTTGTGGTGTCCTCCCTCTAAAGAATCTATGTTAGACTCTTCCGCCTACTATAAGTTTAGTAGGAGAGAAGGTTCGAAAAAACAGAAAACACTGAATCGCTAGTTCACTCGATACACTCTCACTTGTCATGTAATACTCTTCTGGTGTACTTACTATTTAATATACGATATATCTGCAAACCTGATTTTTTGTTATTACTGAACCATTTACTTGGTCACAACACACACACACAAAATGGGTGCGATGAGTAAATTATCGCCGTTTTAGATTTTTGATCTCCCGCAGACGCATAGTTTGTTTTTGATTTCGTCGGCTACACTTTATAGTAAGGTCAGTTGGGCACCGTCTTTGAGAAAAAGAAAATCATGACGCAATTTATTCCGCCAGAAACGGAATTATGTCCTGCTTATCATTTGCGCCGAAAGCTCCAATACGAACATTTCAGGGGGTTTGGATGTCAATCCGAAGACAATGCAGACGATTCGAAAATAGTTAGCTGAGTCTGATGGTGATTACGAGGGTATGGTAGCTCGGAAATCTTACTCTGATCGTTTTGGTAAGAAAATAACGCCTGTATGTTGGCGAGGGTGTCAGGCTCAACACGAAGACCTGGATCAAGTCTCTTGAAGAGATATTGCTGCCATGGATGAAGAGGGTGGCTGCTGGAAGACCCTATGTCTGACAAAAGGACTCTGCACCATACCACACACGCAGAAGACCCAAGTCATGTTTGTCAGACAATTTCTGCAACCACATCACCCCTCACACCTGACCACCTAACTGCACAGACTGCAACCCTC